CTATAAAGATAATCCATTTAGATTCTATGTTATCCTTAATGGTTAAGTCTAAATGTCTACTTAGAATATATTTGATATCATGTCAAATTTTTAGAAAACCTTTAAATGTATGTGTTATATTTTGATTCACGCTATATGTTGTTGTTTCTTTTGAATTTCATATGCCTCTATTATTATCTGAGAGAATTTTCTTTTACTTCTATTTTATCAATCATAATTTTTACGGTTTTACAAAAACATTTTTCTTAAATATTCAACATATAAACAAGTAATATTTTTAAGTAGAAGCTTGTAATTTTGTAATATTCCAATTGTACTACAGTCAAACCTCGATATAATCACCAGGTTGGCAATCAAAAATCAATGTGACTAAGGTGATAGTGCCTATACAGAGGTAAATTTTCTTTTGCTATATAATAATTAGTAAAACCAAAATAAATTTTTTTTTAATAATTTGTGACTATGTCAAGAACGACTACATCGAGGTCTGACTGTATTTGTTTTTTTTTATGCAAACAATTAGAGAGTGGGATCGGTGAATAATTATTCGAGCATCGATCAAAATTTAAAATTTAATATGATGCTTAAACCTTCAACGCGAGTCTATATCACTTCCCTGATGTTTATTTTCCTGATAATCACTTTTCCGAAAACATTCCCAACTATCATTTTTCCATACAATCATTTTTATGATAGTCACTTTCCGATCAAAAGGTCTTCATATAGTTGGCATTTTTGATATACTGTTGTAATGCTCCAAAGCCATAAATATCAGCAACTGGTGTAAACTTGAGATTTGATTAATTTGATGTAGAACTCTTTCCGTATCGTAAATGAAATGAGAAATAAATTTTTTCTTTTATTTTTATACCGATGATATTACCATCCTCGGGCGCGTGTGGCGCTCTTTTAGGGACACATGAAGATCAAGGAACCCAGTGATTATCAGATTACATGAAATTATGCAATTACGTCATTTGTTTACTTGCACTAACAAAACTGGCCTAAACTATGCTATCACCTGACCTTAATTACGCAATGTGATGAGCACGAATATATCACTGGGTTCCTTGATCTTCAATCTTCCCCTCTTTTATTTATGAATCTTGATTATATCTTATACATTGTAATTTCCTATTTCTATACTATCTGTACCTCCTTAATCCATACTCGGTCCCTTGGGTACCCTTCATTCGTCTCCCTACTCGCCGGCGGTGTTTTCGGTTTCGGCCCCATCTGGTCCTTCTTCCGGTAATCCGTCCCGTGCCACTTCGGTACTTGTCTTGCCGTTTTTGGTCCGTCTTGAGGTTTTGGTCATCCTTCCGTTTCGGGTGTTGGCAGGGACCCCTGAATGTCGAACCCTATGGTCCCTTTCTTTCATTAGGTTAGTACTACTACGTTCTTAAGCTGGATTTACTCAATTTTTACGCCTTATCTGGTCGTCCTCGACCCCGTGGTTATGTATGGTTCCTTACATGGAAATTGTCCTCTCGAAGACCCTTTCAGTCATGGTCCTGACAGAGCCTTGTCCTCCAGTTGGATTCGAACCTGCAACCTTGCGACTGTGACCTGGGGGCGCTAACCATTGCGCAATCGACCCGCAGGTCGAGAAATAAATTTGTTATTCAGCATAACATTAAATCTCAAAACGATTCACTCTCAGGGTCTCATTCTCTAGTGACAATATTTTGTAAGGTGATTTGTGTAGCGCATACATTGCAGACTTGGGTCTCTTGATTCAACATATGAAACAATGGAGTTTTCAATATATCATATACTGTAACCGTAAATCAGAAAAATTATTTTAGAAATACACATCTCAATTGTAATTGGTTAGTTTGTAAATTATTTTGGGACACTTTAAGAAGAGTTAACCCAGTGATTATCACGAATTATAACCTCGATATAATCACATAAAAATTTTTATTGGCCAAAAAATATAAACAAAAAATCAGGTGATATCAATTATACTGTGTAACATCAGAT